ATGTACTTGTAGAATTTAAAAAAAAAAAACCTGAAATCAGGCAACTGCAGGACTTATGAACATCCCATGTAGGTGTTCCCAAGTCTAGTCTTGGCCATCTGACTGGAGTTCAATAACCTAAATCAGTAATACAGCATGCATGGAAACAATATTTAGGGATAAGCATTGGTTGAATTTGGTTCCCACTGAATTCAAGCCCAGTACAGGTACGTATGTGTATTGTGTTTTGTACCGAGAGGTCAATAGATGGTTAATGAGGTAAGAGAGGTTTTAAACACAGGGTGCCATTGTTGGCCAGAAGCACTCACTGGTCAGGTACATGTATTGTTATGTGGCTCTATTGTGTACCTCTGACATACTGTGATAATATTTGTTCCTGGATGAACGCTGCCAAACTGTTTGCGAATACATGTACATTGTAGCTACCCATTACTGTATAAACGAATTCAGCAAAACACATGTGGTATAGAATCTGAATTTGTGAGAAAAGGTGCAATAAGGCCACAAAAAAAAGTCTCCGGTTTCTGGTATGGAGCTTGCCCCAAAAGTGGTGCGGCGACGCGGCTTTTTTTTTTTTTTTACCTGTTTTTTTTTTTTTTTTTGGCTTCAAATGTCGGCTGATGACTGCAAATGGTGCCCGACTAAACTTAGTGCAAATATATGGGAGTCCAGAGAGGCCACATAAATCTTATTCTCGATCATAACTCCTTCTAAAAACACGTTAAAATTGTGCAGCAGCAGATTTCCAGTCAAACCAGTGAGTTTGGCGGTTTTGAAACATCATCTTGTATTGAAAAAAAAACTTTTTCATTTTGCCGACGCGCATGGCTACGGCGACGCGCGCATACCAGAAACTGGAGACTTTTGGGGGGGGCCTAAGTGTTCATTCTTTTATTTGAACCCAACCTCGTTCCCCGTGGGTACGATCTTGCTGCGCCATGTTGTTTCCCATCATGCCTTGCGTGATCTTAACCCCTGGATTAGAATTTAAATGTGTCAAAATGTGACACATTTAAATTAGGACTACAGTCGATGTATCTGACGCGTAACGCCATGTTTACAATGTTCTCATTTTTTTTCCCCAAATCATACAAATATTCTTGTCTTTTTCACTCTAATATCCAAATTTTATTATAATTAAGAGTTAAAAAATGCAGTCAATACACTTTTGACCTCTTGTGCCATTACATTGACAAAATTGAACAGTTACTCTTCATGCTCTAGCTTTCACCTGCTACTTAAATGAGAAAAAAAAATAAGTAAAATGGCTAGGCATATTGCATGGAAAAGATCATCGCGGATCTTGTTGGTGAACTGGGATATTTATCAATTAAGTTCACCACAAAGACAATCCATGGACAAAAAGGATGCGGGATCTGGGATGCGACATGAAACAGCCGTCAATCTGTCCAAGCGACAACCATAATCGTGTGTGTCACATGAAACCAGATGGGTAGCTCAGAGGGCTCCAATATTTCTGCTGGAAAGAATGTTGCAACCTGACGCTGCTTTGTTCTTCATATATCATCTCAGTCATTGGAAAAATGATGATAAGACATGAATCTGAGACTGAGAAACATTTTCGGTTTAACTAACTGTACTTCGCAATTCAATGTCACGGTGACTATAATCACGTGCGTAAACCTAGCTCAATGCAGCAACGACTGGTTCCCGCCGCGCCGCACAGGGGTGCAGACCAGTAAATCGGTCCGAAATTGCCTGCGCCGGCCAAATCACGATTTGCATGCCCTCAAAATCTTCGGTATTTGAGCATTCTGTGGGCCATGAACTTGAGGGTTTGTAAAAAATATGGGTGGAAGCCGTGCACAGGACTGGGAGCTTGCAGTTCTGTGTAATTCTGATGTAATTTGGACCCTAAAAGCGCTCTATTTTGCAATGGAGTGTAGGCATTGTTTTTCAAAATGGCGATGGGCTTCAGGACTATTTTCAGGGGTGATCATCTTCAGATGGAAATTTCTCCTAAAAGTCATCAGTTGACCCCCCGAAAATTGAAAAGAAAATGAAAGATGATGAAATAAGCTTTAATTTGATGTGTGTCTCGAACACCTTGGAGAGTTGTGAGTATTTTTCCCGAATTTTTGAAGTGGGAGCATTTACCATTTACCTATGGAAGTTTATTTACTGGTCTGCTACCACAGGGGCCAAGTTAGAAGACATGATGAAAATGCAGTAACCAGTCTGTGCATGGCTATGCGATCAATAGCGCTAGCATGGCTATGCATTGCAGGCCGGTGCACTGTCAACTGGTCGGATTCGACATCGTAAAAACATGAAAAATGCCAAGAAAACACCGATGGAGAAAAGGAATAACAGTTTTGCAAGTTAATTCACAGAATTGATCTAGCTTGTCTGTGTACAATGTATGTATTTTCCGTGTTAAAGAGTCCATTTTGAGATCGCACTAACATGACTACTCGTATTTGGAGTGTATGCTATGTGTTTCCCGAATTTTCGACCTTTATATTATAACGTGCTCTGTCGGCCGCGCGCCACACATGCACAGTGCATCACACACTTCGGAGTTTTGGCCAGCTTCCTGTTTTGACTAGCATTGTGCATATGGTGCAAACGACCTGAATTTTCCATTATTTTTTTAAGAATTATCGAACGCAAATATATTGTCATAGGCCTATATTGACATAGGGGGCTAGCTGGAGTTACCCAGCCCTGAGTTTTATCATTGGGTTGTCATCTAGGGCTGGAGCGAGTTTTTCTCGTAACTTGTAGTATAGGCAAAAAATTTTGGAAAATGTTCAATTTTGTCCCCGTTACACACTAGTTGCAACTGCAACTCACCCAAAACTTGCCTGGAATAACCATTACACAGGTCCTTGAAGTAAAAAACGATCCACGATGAAGATTCAGCCTACAATTGCAGTGAAAACAGGAGGAATAACCGCTAACCTGACAACCTTGCTGGCATGGCCAGGACCGCAATTGGTTTGTGCACACAAAAAATTGTGTACAATGAATGGCGGTCGATTAACAGGCACAGAGAGCGATCGCTGTCAACTACTCATTTTCGCCGGCTGCGCTGGCTGTTGGCGCATGACGTCACGCGGAAGCGTAACACCCGATGACGGTTTCATGCACTATTGGTTGCGGTTCCAGTACCAAAGCTGTGATGCGAGTGGTAAACCTTATATTAGTGCATGAAACAGTCATCGGGTGTTACGCTTCCACGTGACGTCATGCGCCAACAGCCAGCACAGCCGGCGAAAACGAGTAGTTGACAGCGATCGCTCTCTGTGCCTGTTAATCGACCGCCATTCATTGTACACAATTTTTTTTGTGCACAAACCAATTGCGGTCCTGGCAATGCCAGCAAGGTTGTCAGGTTAGCGGTTATTCCTCCTGTTTTCACTGCAATTGTAGGCTGAATCTTCATCGTGGATCGTTTTTTACTTCAAGGACCTGTGTAATGGTTATTCCAGGCAAGTTTTGGGTGAGTTGCAGTTGCAACTAGTGTGTAACCGGGACAAAATTGAACATTTTCCAAAATTTTTTGCCTATACTACAAGAGAAAAACTCGCTCCAGCCCTAGATGACAACCCAATGATAAAACTCAGGGCTGGGTAACTCCAGCTAATAGGGGGCCTAGTTTGTATTACTACCGTAGTTTTAATTCACTTTTTGTGGCCATTTTGTGTATAGTTTTCGTAGTGCAATGGAAATAGTTCAGTAAAACTTCGCATAATTGAATACCCCATTCAATTATTTTTGAAAAGCATGTAGGCCTATTCGGAAGCAGAACAGAAGTACATTTTTGTATTTTTTTTCTTCGGCCTTATCACATAATCATGTCATGATCATGACATTTTTGCAATGACTGACCTTAAGTTCATTGAGATGATATGTGAAGCAAAAAGCAGCGCCAGATTGCAACATTTTTTCCCCTTAATTCTGTGGAAAGAGGGCATGGCTTATATTTTGAATGGTATAGTCGGACTCCCTATTATCGCGGCATCCCTATTATCGCGGCATGGGAAATTTCTCTTTTTACAGTGTCAAAACTCCTTCGAGTGGCGATTTTTATCCAGTTCACCAGTCATCAAGGATTTTCTACCGAGTTGTATAAAAAGGACGATTAAAAAATGTTGTGTCTTTCGGGACTTTTAACGATTTTAATAAATATTAACGTTTTCCAAAACTTGCAAAATTTTCCCTCACCGTGTCTGCTAAAAGGTACCGTTTGTATTTTAACATAAATCTTTAATTGCGCTCTGTCCATGAAACTTAAGTTCCATTGTCTGGTTCCCATTCTTCAGCTGCAAATGTAAAATGAAGTCGAACGACGATATTTGCAGCGCGAAATCGTAACAACTTTTACGGGATCAAAATAAGCACCGCGCGTTAGCGAAAATAAAACGGCACACCGTGTAAAGTGAATGGCGCCCTCAATCGCCGATCAGTAGACTTGCCTCAGGGATTTGTGTTCTCCTTTCGGGGGAAGGGCAGGGTCTTAAGAAATCATCCTGCAGACATTTTGTATTTAATTAACTTGAATGTTACAGGGAAAATATCAGACTTTATTCAGGGGGTGTTTTGGTCAAACATAAACTATGAACAAAAAAGTTGGGATCATTATAAAAACCACTTCCCGCATACCGCGATAATAGGGAGTCCACTCCGTTCGCACACGCCGCGCATGTCTATTTTCACAGGCATCGTACACGGAATAAACCACACCACCCGTCAGATTTTTGTATATTAATTTAAAAAGGAAGAGTTATACTACACATAAGACAGGACAATTCTGGAAGGTTAGTGGGCAATCTCTATTCCAAACGAGAAACGTGATAAGTACCGCGATAATACGGCGTTCCATCCTACTTGCAAAACGTACGAAAGAGGACAAGCATGACAAGAAGTGTGGGTGCTAGTTTAGCACCCACACGAAACTTTACAACTTGAACAAGCACCATGCACCATGCATGGCAAGCACAAACCGTCGGAACGTGGTTTGTGCGGTTACGTACCTTACTTTTCACCTCCGTGATACCGTTCAGAATGCCGGTGTTTCCGTTGCTCATGCCTGAAGTGTTATTGGCCATATTGCCAACCGATCATCTGGCACATCGAGCTTCGGAAACGTTTGTTTTTGGAGGTAGACTTCAGATCGCTTATTTCCTTCCTGAATTGCACGACATCAAACTTCAATTCAGCAGCCAAAATGTATCGTTGGTTTCTCTCTCATGCTACGCCGTTTAACCAACATGTTCTCAGATTGAAATGCGTGGTGAAAGCAGCAGGTAGGCGAGTACCAGTGACTCACCGTACCAAAAACATGTAGAATGCGTGACGTCACATTAAAATATGTAGGAAAAGTGCGAATTGTACAACATGTAGATTATGCCACGGCACGAGTTTTACTAAATTCCGTAAAAGATAGTTTTGACATCTTTTTTGCGATTTCTGTTGACAATGGTATGCTTCAGATGGGGAAATAGTATTTCCCATTTCTCAAGTCTGGTACATTGTTCAATTTGTCTGGGTATATTGTTTAACATGAAATACACGTTCTAAAAGCAGGGTTAACTCGAAGTTTTGGCCACACCTTTTGGCACCCTCATCATCATGACAGGTCATGCCTGAACGATGTATCATTGCATCTACGGCAAACATCATGAACGAATTAATTAATATTCATCTTGAATTCAAGACTAAGATGACAAGTCAGTATTCTTGGAAATCCCAAAAAAGGCAAAAGAATGAAAACACTGAGTACATTTGTTTGACTAAGGTTTGATACAAAGAAGAATAGTGATTGCAGATCGATCCTCTGGGAAATTAATCAAACTTATTGACAGGGGTATGAAATCGAATCGAGGGAACTATAAAACAAAACGAAAAAGTGGCAAGATTTTTAACAAGCAAGTTGTGTAATATCCAAGTCAGTGTCTCCAGTAAAAAAAAACTACTGAAATGGTTTGCTCACCAATTAAATATTCCATTTAATAGTATTTCCTACAGGAAATTAAATTTATAAAGCTCTCAAAAGATCATGAACAAATATTAAAACTATTTTTAAGTAATTTTAATTTAAGGGCCAATTAAGGCCAACTATCGATCTTTTCTTGTTTCTTTAAAGCAATTAAACTCCATCTTCGGCGAAAACGGCTTTAGACTGAGGAGGCCTAAGTGCACCTGCACACTCACATGATGTTGAGTGTTGTGAGTTGTTCGATTCAGTCACCTGCTGTCCTGCCGTATGGTGGCGCTATATCCAATCTACGGCTTGCTCTTCCCAAATAGATCATCAGGGGCGGATCCAGGAATTTTCTCGGGGGGGGGGGTGTTTCATGGGCGAAAAAGTCTGAAATGTAGAGAGGGGTTTTTCTACGGACACTTGGCCCACGAAAATCAATGGGGGGGAGGGGGCTCGTACTGCACTTTCAATATGGGCGCTGTTTCATAATAGTGTACATAAAAGTACATATACCCCCTAACCAAGCTAGGACATTTTTTATTGACAATAAAACAATTTGGGGTGACAGAGCTGGGGGGAGGGGTTATCTCCCCCCCCCCCCCCCGATCCGCGCCTGGTCATAGACCAAACCTGCTAGTGTAGTTAGCGAGATGAGCGCTTTCATCCTTTAAAACACAGAAAATCTTACGAGGCAAACGCTTTGTTTTCATGCAATTAAGAAGAAAGTATATTTGTCAAAAGCACGCCAAACTGTGAAACAGCAATATTTTGAAAAAGCGTATTTTGTGATTTTCTTTTTACCGACGAATCCGGGATCGCAGCCCGGCAACGGCACTGTCGGTGGAGAAATATCAAACCACTTTACTAGCGCACCCCCAACTTTAGGGTTTAATTAACCATGTTTTCCACATCAATAATGCCACACAAGATAGTTACTGATAAAAAGCATCTTGAACCTGGATACAGTAAAATCAGCGTCACAAACATTTCAAAAAACAGAAAACAGCAGTACATGTAATTACATTGTCCAATATTTGGGAATGAAAAAGAGGAGGGATTGTTAAATTGAAAATTAACGCGCATGGAAGATGAGACAGCCACTCTATCCATCCAGCAAGTATGGTTTATCAAAGCACATTGCTCTTTAATCCAGGGCAGCCGTGAATGAGGGCGTGGCAGCACGCTGAATCCAGGGCATAGTTTTTTCATGACAAAGAACATGTATGGATCATGATCTAAACATCTCCCAAAACATAATCAGATGCAACATAACGAACTCTAAATAAATTTGAGATGCGAGTGATATCATGTGTGCGAGGGAGGGTGCCAACAACATACATGACTGTCATTTTGTCTTTCGCCCATTAAACATATATTTTTTTTGAAAAAAAAAAATTGTGAGCACCCCCCCCCCAAAAAAAAAAAACCCAAGCCAAATTCTGGGTGCGCTACTGGGTAAAATAGGCGTTAACAATATCGGAAAAGGAGGAACAAAAATATTCAGCTAGTTTGCAGGCCTTTACACAGTTCTAAAAGTTGGTTTTAAATTGCGCACTCCAGTTCTGAAATTGCGCACACTATTCAAAACGAAATAGGATCGGAGCGTCCCGCTCTTCATTCGAAAATTCAATTTAATGAATTGAAAAAAAACTCAGCTCATTTCGATGTCAAGCATTTAAAAAAACAAAAAACTTTTTTTCTGCGGCAGAATTTTTTTGGAATATATTTTAACTTATACAAAATTTGAAAACATATTGTGAGCCCCCCCCCCCCTGCCAAATCCTGTTTGCGCCACTGATCCAGGGGAGGGGGAGGGGGTTCAACTCAACCGCCCCCTGTTCTGTCAAAAACATTGTAATATAATATGCATCTTTATTTTGTTTGCGGTATAATATTGTACATGGCGTTTCTTACATCAATTGGAAATTGCGCCAATAATAATTTATTATTGGTGCACTTTGCAATTGACATAAAATTAATGGTAGTCGTATTGATCATACGAAACGTAATTTTGATTATAATCAATTATTTAATATTCATTGAATCACGACATAGACCTTTGATTCGTTTTAATATTACCGGAGAGCTGCCGAGCAGATGTAAATATCCATTTAAACCAAAGTAAAAAAAAATTTAAAAAAATAGAGGATTAAAAAAAATCAAAAAGTTATGTGCTAGCCCCATCACGATCCCTTAGGACTCTTCTGGGATTTCGGCGTTCCCGGCCAATACACACTTCCTTCCCTGTTTATCCATGTAACCCCGGAGGGCCAGGCACCATATAAAAGCAAAGAGCTAAGGGAGGAACAGGGCGGCACCCTAAGCCCTGATCCTCCGAGTGGACCACATGCCCTGAACCTGTACGAAGGCGCCAACCTGGAACTCGCGGACAGTACCAGCCGCAGTGCTTACCGATTAAGCTAAGGTACCGTTGGTATTTTACCACGGGAAATTAAACATCTTATAATGACTGAATGCGTGCGTTAAAAAGCAAAAAGACACCAACGGGATTCGAACCCGGGCTCCACGATTCGTGGACTACGATCGAGTCTACCCACTAGGTCATTCGGCTTCCCTAGAATTCCCTTCAAAAAGAGTTTGTCTTAATAGGCGGTGAAACCTGGAGCATTGCTGTGTGCATCTGTTTTGGCTCCATGGACGAACAGAAGTCGATATTTCGGGCGATAATGAGCCAACTGTTTTCATTTGCTTGGAAAATACGCCAGGCTCGTTAGTCGTAGGCCTATACGTGTGCTGAATACACTTCGAGTTACGCAACAATGAACACTATTATTATGAAGGCTTTTTTTTTTTTTTTTTTTTTTTAAAGCTATCGGCTGCGTTCAGGGGCGGATGCAGGATTTTTTGCGGGGGGGGGGTCCGGGCACATCAGGTATTTATATCCGATTATTGAGGACAGGCGGACCGTGTCATTATTATATTTAATTAATAATTATTCAGTTTTCGTGTGTGTCTGGCCGGTGGGGGGGGGGGGTGTTTCGTCCCCTCTGGATCCGCACCTGAATTCTACTCTTTGTATTTGGACAGATACAGATTCTCTGTATTTGGACACAGATTCTCAACTCCGTCATTACTATTTCAACATTATCACGTCTTTAAAAAACGGGAAACGATCATTTGTTTTACGGATTTGCTTCCTCAAAAATAATGTGAACAGTACGTTCTCATCCTTAATTCTATAAACAACCAAAAACAAACATTTAAACGTAGATGAAAACAACATTAACCAGGACACCACATTGCATTGGGGGCGCTGTTCAAGATGTCCATTTTTTATATTACGTACAATAACGCTTCGCTCGTAACCCCCGCCCTGCAAACAGGGCCTAGGGCGCTGGGCTGGGAATTAAGGGGCTGATGACATTCACAGCAACCTCGTCCCCTATGGCGTGTCAAACGTTGCAATATTCAATATTTTGCAATATATATGTTGGATGTTCAATATGTGTTTGTTATCTTTTACATTTACGTGCGATGTTCAATATAAGTGTGCGATGTTTTTCATTATTTGCGCGATGTTTAATATATTTGTGCGATGTTTTACAATATATGTGCGATGTTCAATATATGTGTGCGATGTTTCACATTTATATGCGATTTTCAATTTATATGTGCGATGTTTTTGACGATATATATGTGCGATGATTTCAATATTATGTTCGATTTTTTGCATTAAATGTGCGATGTTTTTCGATACAATTGTGTGTGTTGTTTTACAATATATTTGCGATATTCTCAAATAATGTGAGCAATGTTTTGCACCTGTCCCGTTTAATGATCCAGTTACCTGATAATTTGTTTGAAAAATTCCAGATGTAAAATTGGTCAAAAAAATGTAAAAAAAAATCAAATTGTAAGGGGATAACCTTGCATTTTTTTAGCAAAATCGGGAAACTTGAAATCAGATGTTTCTGGAAAATTGCAGATTGTATGGGGTTAGATGTTTATGAAACATTTCAAATTGTAAGGGGTTTGTCAATTTGCATATTTTAGCACAATTGGGCAAAATGAGATGTTTCCGAAAAATTTCAGATGTAAGGGATTATCCTTGCTTTTTTATTGAAATTTGGCAAAGTTAGATGTTTATGAAAAATTTCAAATTATAAGGGTTTAACCTTGCATTTTTTAAGCGAAATTGGGGAAAAAATCTGATGTTTCTGGAAAATTGCAGATTGTAAGGGGTTAACCTTGCTTTTTAAATACGATTGGGAAAAATTAGATGTTCATGAAAAAATTCAAATTGTAAGGGGTTAACCTTGCATTTTTTTTTTAAAGCAAAATAGGACACA